GCCCTAGATATCTTGGGATGGCTTGCTGTATAAGAGTTGTTGCCAACAAGCTCCATTCAGGAGATCTGATGCAATGTCACAATCTAGTTCATTCAGCTTTATAAAAACTTAAGTATACATCAGAAGTAAATAGCAGTTGGGACCAAGGAACAGAGAATAATGTAATGTTACTAAGGAAAAGAACATTTCAAACTTTTGGTCAAACATGTAAGATAAACTACATTAAGTAGGTAAATAACACAAATAATCATCTGGGGAAGTTAAGACACCCACACAATGAATGTGAATAACAGAAATGTGAAATGTTTCAGGATAGTTTGCCATTAGTAGCATTTAATGAGGAGACAGTACCAAAAAAAAAAAAACCACAAAAACCCCCAAAACAACAACAACAAAAAAACCCCGAGGTACATGGGGAAGCTGACCAGCAAAAAACAAGGACTAAAAAAGAGGCATTAAGAAATAGGGGTTTAGTCTTATTAGCTTTGACCCCCTTTCTTACCATGGGGAGGTGAAGTTCTCTCTCTCTCCTCTCTCTTCTCTTTCTCTAATCTACTTTCTAAAGAGATTATATTTTCCAAATAAAAAAAAGATCTAATGATATAATCATGTGGTTTTGTTTAAAAAAAAAAAAAGAAATGGGGTTTTAAAGAGATTAACATTTAAAAGAGGAAAGACAGTATAGATCCTAGTGAAACCACATCTATGTTTTAAAACAAAATTTAAATCTGCAACTTTCTATGCCTGAAATACTTTCTTCCTTCACCAATGCCTGACTTTCTTTCAGCTTGACTCTCCAACTTTTCCATTAAATATTTTATAACTACTCAGTCCCACAAAGGCCTGTCGCCTTCATGGCCCCCTTTTGTACTTATAGACACAACATTGATCTAGATTTGCATCGTTTATATGTCTTGTATCTCAACTAGAGTGCTAACTAGAATTTATGTCCCCATTTCTTAAATTGAGGCAGGCCTTGTGACTCGCTCTAGCCAAAAGAATGTGGTAGACATACTGGTCTGGTAGTTCTAAGAGTAGGCCTCAAAGAGTTTACACATTTCTTCTTGTTCTCTTGAAACCCTGCTAAGATGCCATGTGAATAAGCCTGGGTTAGGTCTTGGTACAGGAGAGATCACATGAAGCAGAGAAGAGTAGGCCTAGCTAAGGCATCCTAAACCAACCTATCCCTAGCCAATCTAGCAGATGACCTCAAAGTGTGAATGCACTCACCTGAACTGCCCTAACTTGCTAATCTGTAGAATTTAGAGCTTAATAAATGGTTCTTGTTTTAAACTGATGTGGGGCTATTTATTATGCAAAAAAATGTTTAAATAATTGAAAAATACACAATGGCTTAATTTCTCTAATGTAATGCTATCACAGTGTGCTTTATATTATATTATTATTTGCTGATTACCCTTTTGCTTGCAGAAGGCAGAGATTATAGTATACTCATTTGCATATTCCCATAGTACTTAAGTTGTCAACTGTGTATAGTAGGCACTCAGAGTTTGATAAAATAAACTGAAATAAAAATCAAATTCTAATGTTCATCAGCATTACCTACTTAATGTTTAACCATGGGGAAAAAAAAATACAAACCATTCTTACTGTTAAAGTATCAAATAAGTACTGAGACTCTACTATTGACCATGTATTATAATTCTCAATTATAAACCATTAAAGGCCAGCAATTATTAGTACATGGAGTATATATGCCACTTCAAGATAGTTAATTAAATAAGCCTTTAATAAGTTGTTCTTATGACTTAGCATTACTTCAATTTGGATTTTGATAGAAATACACACATATACTTAGTATTTGTATGTGAAGTTGTACTGCAATCCTATTTTTATGAACTTATAAATATAAAAAATATAAAATATTACATAAGGGGAATTTTATTTGTACTGTCTAATTCACATTATTGTTAATTACAAATTTTCTAAATTCGGAGATCTGATGAATGAGATTTAACTCATTTATACTTTAATTCTGAAGTGCTATACAAATGTAAAATATCATAAAACCTTGTGTATTCAAAATGTCACTTCCTTCTTTTTCTTAAGAAGTAGGAAAGTGAGAATAGACAGGACAGATGAAAAGGATGAATAGTTTTGCTATATAGTTTTCTTCCTAATGAAATTCTATAGCTTTAAATGACACTCTGCTATTAAGGTCTATACAAAGATAATTTCATCAAATATTTCATGTTTTGAATATTTTAAAAATTATCATTCATTTATACTGTCTGAAACTCTTTAAAGCAAGAGAACATGAAAGCATGATCAGAATAAACATATGCATAAATCAATAAGGCAAGTACTCTCAATGACAGTAAAAAAATATCCTTGCTGCACGGCACTGGGGCAGATCCTCTTGTTACATTGGTGCATCCTCTATAATGTGCCTTAACTTTAACTTCTTCCTTTAACTTCTGCCATTCCTGTTTAATATTTTTATCTTTGATTTATAAAGGCATAGTGATTAAATCAGCTAATCAACTAGATAACTGATTCAGACCATTCTAGAATGAAAAACATTTGTGTTGTTAACAATAGGTCTGAAAGAAAAGCATGGACCAATGAGAGTAGTCTCCAATTTTGGTCCATAAAACCAACCATGTAAAGACTAGATGAGGACTAGGTAACAATGCTACAAGTAAAAGACTCAGTCAACTACTAGCAAATAGGAAGCTCAATAAATGAGGAGGAGAAAGCAAGCCCACATTCCCAAATTGGGAATGCATTAATAAAAATATAAAGATTCAAAGGGCCAATGTTAAGTGAGACATATTTTAGCCAACTTAAGAATTATCTTTCGGATAATCATATTACTCTAAGGTGGAATTTGCTGCTTTGGGGCAGTGAGTTAGTTCTCTTCAAGGAGAATATTCAAGCATAGTCTAGGGTGCTGTACAGAGATTTAAGTATCAAGCCACAGGTTATATACTACGTGATTTTTACAATTAAGCCTCCAACCACAAAATTCAAAATTTCTCTTTTAGGATTCTAAAGAGTACATGCAAAAGGATACTTAATCACGCATCATTTGATGCCAGGATGCCTCCTCTGAAAATATCCTCTCAGGTTTTCTATTCATAGTTTGAGCATCTCTATTGTTCAGAAGTCTCCTTTTAAAAAGATGTCCATTAAAAATATGTTCTGAGACTGACTAAGATGAAATGCTAAAAGATAAATATTTTCAGCACAGGATGTGAAAGGATCATTTTTCTCACAGTGATTCAACCTACCTGAGGCCTGCTAATAGTGAGCTATGGACCAAGAGCTAAGGAAGCTTTTTCAAAGGATTTAGTATAGAAAAATTATTCCTTTATGCTGCTTTGATAGAGAGAGATATAGGTAGAAATTAGATGATAGATTCAATACTCTTTCATTATCAGTAAAATTTTGGAGTTTTCGTTTCTACCATTAAACCATTATAGAAGTAACTCTGAGAACAGAAATGTAAAAGAAAATAAGAACTTAAGCATAAACAACAGAGCTTACTGAGAGCTTACTAGTACTGGAGCATTCATCCACAGCTCAGATCCACCTTATTTTGGCTGTGCTTTCAAACTTACTCCCTTAGTTAACATTTCTGTGCACACTAGTTGCTTTCCATAGGGACCAAAACCACAAACTAGAGAGAATGGCCATGCTTCCTTTTCATGAATAGTGAGAATGGAAAAAAATTTTTCCTTGGATGTGTTTCTCCAATGAAATTCAATTTTTGCTTTCTAAGAAAAGTCAATTGGCTTAGAAGTTCCTGCAAAGAAATGGGGGGGGGGGGATCCAGCAGATACCACCCTACAAAACACCTTAGCAAAATCCAAATATTTCAATTTTATAACATTCAAAGGGTTAAAACCTAAACAACTCAGTTGAGTTGCTGAATCTACAGGTAGAAGGTCTTAAGTGTGGGAAGAGATACTCAGCTTTATTTGTAATCATGTTGGTAAAGTCTTTATGTGTAAGAGAACTCCCACCCTGGCCCCCAAATATTAAGTTGATACACGTTTCCGGGACACAGCCTGAATCCTCAAACTTTGGCGGGTCTATAGACACACAATTTTCTGTTTTCCGCTTAGCAGGGCTTTCCAGAATTGTCATCAGATGACAGATTACACTACCCATCTACCAGGATTCAGGGGTGGCTCAGGCCATCCATTATTGGTTAAAAGCTGTTCCAGCATGAATCAAGTCACAGTGGTAAGGAGACTACCGATACAAGGGGTCCTACAGCTTTAAGAAGTACCCTGGGCATCCAAAAGTTTTCAGAATGCAAACTATGTCAGCTCTGAAAACAAGAGGCACTGAATCATTATGGCAGGAGAAACAAAGCCAGCCCCCTTTTTAAAACAGACAAAAAAAAAAGATTGTTTTAATAGGAGAGAAGCATCAGTCATTGATTCTTACTTCATTCACACTTTCTATCCAACCCCATCCATCTTCAGAGTGAAGAGATGACAGAGCCCAGTTAACTCTCTCCCTCATTGGGCCCCCGTCCATTCTGCTCTACTATATCCAAACCACCAGGGCCTACCAACTTGCCCATTTGAATCTGCAAGAAACAGTCCCATTGACTGACTCATTCTACCTAATGGGCTTGCCAGAGCTCAGGTACGCCTAAGTAACAGCTTTCCTCACATTAATAGGGTTAGTATGACTGGTTTGGGCCTTTGTTAATCATCTTCACAAATGACCATTCAGTCACTCATGGCTGACCACGTTCTACAAAGGAGAAGATGGGAAGACTTAAGGCAGGAGGAAAAAGCCAACAAACCACCAACACTCCAGAATGTAAAATGTTTCATTTGTCTTAAAAGCTGCTGGCCACATTATCTGCAAACAAAAGTTCTCCAAGCAGCAGGCAGTCTCTGGATCAGTGCACCTGCTTAGCATTGGTTTGCTGAGTTATCTTTTTGCTGTGTCTGCAGAAGCCAACTACAGCACAATGGGTCGCATCACTTGAGGGTCACTTGAGTCCCTCTACTCTCTGGGTTCCTCTGCCCACCCCCAGCCTGCCCTTCCACCCACAAAACCTTTAACTCCACCATAGCTAAGAATCCCAGATAGCTAAATAAAAGAGGTGGCCTCAAACACAGGGAAAAACCCTTAGGTCTCCAGTGTGAATCGCCAACGCCAATCCCCCCCCGCCTTTTCCTTAAGACCTGATGGTCTTCAGTCACACATCTTAAAAGAAAAACAAAAAACAAAAACACAAAGACTTACTTGTCTCAAGTCGATGAAGGCCAACTGCAGCGTGTCCTCCTGGAACCCAGGCACCGGGCCGGATCTGGCAAACTCTGTGGGAAAGAAAAGAGGATAAAAAGCGCCTTTAACTAACCATGGACAGGGAGATTGGCAGACGGATGACAGGGAAGACAAGAGAGGCTGGGGGAGAGGAGGACCAAGCTTCTAAGGAGTCATGTCTCTCTCCCTTCAGCTTCTTTGTTTGCCCTTCAAAATTCGTGTCATCAAAACACCATTAATTCCAGCATCCTGACAGCAAGGAAACTGTACTAATTCGACCTGAAATTTATTCCCATGAGCCGCGCTGGGCTTCAGAGTATTTGTTTTGTGAATGGACAAACAACTTGCAAAGGAGGAGGGAGTGGGGGAGAGAAAAAAGTTTTTCCTCTCAACACAATAAAATCTTCAGCTGTGAAACTCTTTTCAGTTCTGAAGCTATTTATATTTTAGATCACTGAAGGAATTTTCTAATTTCACGCTTGTCACCTCATTCTCCAAGCATTTATCAAAAAATATTCCCTGTCACATCATTAATTATTCCCTCACTGATTATTTGTATTATCTCATGAGTACATTATTGCCAGTACATGCGTGTGTATGTACACACACACACACACACTCCCACCCCCAGAAGCAGAGTCTGCCCCAATCCAGTGTTGGTTTTCCAGCAAAGGAGTATTAGCAAATATGAAAAGGCCCATATGAATAAAGCTGACTGCAAAACTTAGGGAACATTTGCACATGTCTGTTCTTCTAGAGTATTCTTTGTCCTTGACTTCTACTTCCATTCTACTCTCAAAAATTCTTTCTTTTCCTTTCTACCCCAATTTTGTCTTAGGTTACAGAGACTACATAAATGCTACTTGCAATTTACAGTGGTGCCTTGGGTACATGCTTAGTTTATGACTCTGGCTTCTATGTCGTTAACAAGAAGATAACTGCACAGGGCTATAGGGACAAAAACTGGTAACAGTTAAGAATGTCAAGTTTTATTGTCCCTGAGCCCAGCTTATTATGAAATCAAAAGGTCTTAAGTTCCCTATACGCATACATATGCATGTGCACGCGTGTGCGTGTGCATATGTGTGCGCGCGTGCACACACACACACAGAACACATTCAAAAGTTGTACAGTTACCATGTCTTTAATTCTCTCTATGAAGCCAATATCCAATCTACTATTTACCTCAAAAAACAACTCAAGTATTTGTTCAAAGCAAACATGCAAAAGAATGTTTTCTTTTCAATTATATTTTTCTCTAGGACTGAACTTAAGAAATTTTAGAGATTAGTATCATATTCTACTTTGGAAATTACTAAAATCCATAAAGATATTTACATATATGCCTGAAAAATTACTTCCAATAGCTAGTTGCTGGATAGATTCAAATGACAATTTGCGAACAATGATGGAAATTTCTGTTTTTTAAAAATATTTTCTACCTGAGGGCATCTTAGACATAACAGAGTTTCATAAAATCCTTGACTTACTTTTAAAAATAATGCTAATAATTTAGGTTGCAGGGACTATGAGAATAACAGTGACTCAAATGGAAGGAGATAAATGATACAGCATAATTAGCAGTACTGAAGTTTCTATTTGCTTTGAGAAGATAATTCAAATGCCATTTATAAATTAATTCTATCATATATAGCCCAAATAATGAAAGCTTGAAAAGCATAAAATTCTAAAAATTGTACAACTACTTGATGAAAGCCATAATAGAAAACTTGATATAAGCCACCTTTCATATCTACAAGAGCCATGATCTGTGATAACCTCATATATAGGAGCTACTCTAGTCAAATGTACAACTTCCCCATACTATGCTGTTGTTAACAGCCATTCTTTGAATTATAGGTCATAGCCACTCCTTTTGACAGCCTTAATTGTTAGGTAGTCAGTTTAAATAATCTTTCCATACTTGATGGTTTCTTCCAAAGTTGATGGATTATCACTATTGGTAGTGCATGACTGAAGTTTAGGTTGTGTTATATGAAGCATCTGAAGTCTTCTCTGTCAGTAGGAACCCTACTTGAGTCAAAATGCAGCAACTATCAAGATGTTCTGCTCCCTGTATATATCCAACTCAACAGAATTACCCTGTAATACACAGTTCGAGTGTTTGGGAGCTGGCTACACATTCTTAAATCTTCTTATTGGGCATATTCTCTGGGGAAAACAGATGAAGCTGATGAAACCACTTAGGAATCTGGATGTGATGCATATTTAGTTCTGAGTCACTTTATAGACCTCATTTTTATGACACACTGAATCTTCCAGGCTCCCAAAGGATATAATGGCCTTTTAGATTTGATTTACCCTTTTATAAATCAGGGAATCAAAGAATGACAACTGCCTCAGGTATAACAAAATAAAGAGATTAATTTTCACGTACAGCTTATGAAAATTTCTAATTACTACATATTGAACTTCATGTTTGTATTTTTCTTATTGTTTTATGTATGTAATTCTTGTTTTCCCATGTAGATAGTAAACTCCTTAGTGACAAAGACCATTTCACAAAAACAAGTATTCAAAATAGTAGATTCTCAACTAATATTGTTTTAATTAAGTTACACAAATAGCAAGATTCATTAATCACATATACTTTTCACTGCCAATAAAAAATCACTTGATTGCATTAGATAAAAAATCCTTAATGTGAGTATCAGTAAACAGGCTTTAGGAATTCATGAGCTCCCTAAAAATACTTGCACAAGGTTAAGGGGATAAGTTTTGAGATCATACAAATTAGGGTTTGAGCTCTAGCTCTCCTCTCTACTTGCCCTCAGGGCTTGTACAAATTACTCAACTTCTTTAAGTTTCTATATTTTATCTAAAAGAAAAATAATAATAATAACAGAGCATTCCGTATAGTGCTGCTATGAAGATTAAATGAAAAATAATGTAAAGCAGTTGGCAGAATGCCTGGCATATCATAATTGATTATCATTATAATTAGTTTTTAGTATAAATAATGCATTTCTCTGCAAAGAAGGCTCATAGATTTCACTAAATTCTCAGAAAGTTGGTGATCTAAAAAATGGTTAAGAAACAATGTTAGAAGAAATTCAACTACTATTAAGTGATAAGTTAGTGAGTTGCAAATGTATTTATAGGAAAATATTTAATTGTTTCACTGACGGAAGTTGATATGATTAACAATTAGTGTTTTACTCACAGCACAGTAATTTTATCAGTATTATTTTTAGTATTTAATAAGTAATCAAATAGCTATCCATAACTTTGTGACTCAGTATACCCTTAGAAACATGATGAAACATGATTGTCCTCCTAGAGTCAATTTTGTAAATATATGAAAAATGTTAATAGGATGAGAAAGTGTTAATACTAAAAAAAATAAAATGGGAAATTGCATATAGACTGATTTCAACTATATAAAATATAATAAGCACAGAAAATTTGACAGTAAGCACTCAGTTCATAATGTTAACTAAAGCTGCTACAGAAAGAAAGGTTATGAGAGTGTTTTTATTCTTCTTATATTTTGTAAACCTTAAAAACAAATATAGGACATTTTTATACCCAGAGAAAATGAAATAGAAGAGTACACACACACATTATACAGTGGTGGTAAGGGCTTTGAGAAGTAAAAATGACTGTATTAGTCTGAAATCTGTATATTTAAATAGGACATTTGGGAGTTTATCAAAAGTAGGCTGTGAGAAACAATATAAAACTAATTTTTCTGAATCTTTGCAAAATGTCCATAGGACAAGAACAATTTTCAAAGGAAAATGAACAACAAGGTAAATATATATTTCAAAAAAGCAAAACAAGTACAATGTCAGGCAAGTAGGTAAAATAGCAATTTTGGGAGGAAAAAATAACTTGTTTTATTGAGAGGAATGTGAAAAGACAATTTGTAAAATGTTAATAGGAGGTCCCTAGATAACATCAGTATGCTGTTGCTCCCAGTAAATTCCAGTTCAGACAATGAATAAGATAGCAAGGGATTAGGGATTTAGTTTTGACCAAAATGCCAGATAAGTAAGAAAGCTCAGTTCCCTGAAGCCAAAGGTGTACTTGTTTATATTTCAAGATCATGTCAGGTCACATGTGTTTTTTGTGGGAATAAAAAAAAAAAATAGGAGCTGTTGTTGCTGCATTAACATAATGGTTTCCTGGTATCTGGATCCCTGGAGCAACAGATAAGGGGGGGTGCTAGACTACAAAGTATGGCTCTGGGGAAGTCAAAGCCTTCTTGCATCACTTTACAGTGGCTCCACTAAACTAATTACAGAGAGGAGTTGACAGACTCCATAGAGAATCCTCCAGGCCCTACTGGTCAGAGAAAGGTCACCCAGAACATAGGGAAGCAAGAATGAAGGAGAACAATGTCAAAGAAAGAAAAAAGGAGGAGGAAATGGAAGGAAAAACCTCCTTGAAGATTCAACTGACTGTACTTGTGAAAGTGTGCTTATACGGATATGCAATCTTAAAAAATAGCTACCACTAGTTTCTAGTTTATCTAGGGTATGACTCTATGATATAAATTATTTTCTTTTTTATACTTTCAATATGTAACTCACAGGTCAGGCATGGTGGCTCACACCTGTAATCCCAGCACTTTGAGAGGCAGAAGTGAGAGGATTCCCTGAGCCCAGGTTTTGAGACTAATCTGGGCAACTTGAAGAGACCTTGCTCATCTCAAGAAATCAAAAAGTTAGCCAGGCACGGTGATGTGCATTTGTAGTTCTAACTACTTGGAAGGCAGAGGATCACCAGAGCCCAGCAGGTCGAAGCTGTGGTAGCTGTGAGCATGCCACTGCACTCTGCACTCCAGATTGAGCAACAGAGTGGCCATAAATAAATAAACAAATAAATAGATTTCCCACTTCAAGAAGGGCAGATGGCCATAGGATATTGTGCAATACAGTACCATACACTGAATAATTTGTTAAGAGGGTGGTTCGTACCAAAATAAAAACAAAATAAATAAGAAGAAAAATACTATGTAAGCCACAAACCTATCGAAAATATCCACAAATCATGTCTGGCAAAGGACTTTTATCCAGAACACACAATG